CAAACAAATAACTTTATAAGTTCTCTAGAAATAGTTCTTGGTAGACTGAAAATTATAGAATACTCCCGAACTGTCCAAACTTTTGTAATCGTCCACAAAACGGTCAGGGATACAAGAAATAGATTTACGTATACTGTTTACAATAATCGGGAATTTTCTTCCAAAAATCCAAATTTTCTTCTGCAGATGAAGCAATACAAAGGAAAGTTAAATTTCTCACTAGAGAACTTACATGCTCGTTGTTGCGAAAACTCATCAGGTGAGTTTGGTTTGTTGAAAAACAGCCTCGAAGGAAGCAAACATTTCGAAAGTTTTAAAGAAAGAAACTATTTAGTATCAATTAATAATTTCTCATGTGGCCTAAATAATGGTATATCTATCATTACGAGTGAAACTATACGAGTTTTACTGAGTAACAAATTCAGAAGCTCTTTCTTTACACAAGTTTTCTTCCAAATAAAACTAACAAGCTCACGTGATGGATCAATTCAAAGAAAAGCAACAGTAGCTTGAATACTAGGAATTTAATCGCACAAGCGTTCATGACAACTCGGTCAGAAGCATTTGGCGTTGCGAAAACGCAACACAGGACACGCCTTAAGGGTGATAACGAGACAATATTAGCTCATTATGTGTTGGTGAGTGAGATGAAGTGGAAATGAAGTTCTGGGTCGTGTATTTGCTTTTAGTAGAACATTTTTTTTTTTTTGGTTCGAACGGTAGGAGACGGGCGTCTGAGGAATTAGTAGATTCGGATCAAGGGCGAGCTCTGCACGTACGCTCCCTTGGGAGCGAGGCTCCTGAACGAGGAAAACAAAGTGTGGCCTACCCACTTCACTTCAGAACGGATTTTAAATGCGAACAGCTTCTTAAATCTACAGGAGATGAAAGAGGAAACGGTTGTGATAACTCAGTGACATTAGACAGTTGTAACATCGCTGACCGGGAGGTTTTAAGTTTCAGGTTCCGACGGTGGTGAATTTCGACACTAGCTACATAGCTCGGTCGAATTCAACCATTATCTAGAGTAGAATGCTAGCGACCGACTGCCCTGATGTCTAATTTTCCGCGATTTCTCCCCTATCAGATAAATTGCCGTTGCATTACCCAAACAAATTGGCCACGGACAGTAAGCGATCTTCCCGTCAGCTGTCCCCTCGACTTCTTACACGCACATTCTTAAATGCACTACACTACCACACATGGAGGGAGCTTAGAGCTTGCCACGGCCGGGGCAGAGAACCCGCTTGTCGACATAACGGTCGGCGCCGGATCTCCCTTTCCAGCGGGGAAACAACACCGTCACCTCCCGGATCATCTCATTCACTACACTCTCAGGGCTAAAGTTCGCATTATTTGACGCGCCCGTAAACACTAAATACTCATGAAAAGGAAATGTAAAAAAATAGGAGAGACTGGCTAAGCATATGCATGTGTCGTCGTCTCTCTCTTTCTCTCTCCCTTTCTCTTTCTCTCCTCTCTCTCTCTTTCTCTCCTCTCTCTCTCTTTCTCTCCTCTCTCTCTCCTCTCTCTCTCTCCTCTCTCTCGCCTCTCTCAGTGATTTTGAAGTCACTAGATTATGTTGAAAGCCGACAATTAACTTCTTAAAATGCGGGAAGTAATTTGTAATATCACTCCCGTCTGAAATTATATTGTAAATAAAACGGCAACTTTTATAATTATTAAGTTTCATTATTGTGTCTTCCTTTAGCGTATAATACACCGTAACACCAAATATGTAACCCGTGTTTTACTGCAAAATCATTCCAGGAAGTCTGTGGTCTTCCTGATTTCCTCCTTCCCCTCGGCACCTTTTTCTGCCGTTAGTTATCTGGGGTGACAGTGTTGGCTCCATTTGTAGCTCGGTTTTGTTAATCTGACTTTATTTCTTTATTATTAAACCTCATTTGAACTTCATAGAAATTGTCAAGCTGTAAGATAGGAATGCACACTTACGAGTATCTTGCTACAGGTCACGTTATCCTTATATAATACTCGAGTAATCTCCGTCCGTCCATCACTGTCATGCTCCTTTCCGAGCGCCAATCGAAACAAACGGAGTGTCATTCGATGTGTCTCGTTCTCCTGTTGGGATTTGTTAGCAATATCATCAAAGTTTTCCAAGAAATTTCTTCAAAAACGTGTTTTTAAGGCAACTAAAACGAGTTTTGAGCGACTTACGGTACTCGCAGAGATCAGCATTTTATTTGATTCATCTCAATGAGGCAAATAGATAGGCGTTGTTTTTAGACAGATCCTTCTAGTAGATTATGAACCTAGTGGTGCCACAACAGCTTATACTTTCTCGCATTATTTCTAACTGCTCCGTTGTATTCTACATTAACCTGCAAAAGTGTTTTTAACCAGCAATTTATTTTCCGCACCGAGACGCGAACTCAGGCCCACCGAGTTTCGAAATCGTGTCTTGTAGTTTTGAAATGTTACTTTTTTGCAAATTTCGAAACTATGGGAAATTCGCTGGAAGTGAGACTAGTACCGTATTTTCACCGCCCTTTCTTACATACGAGGAGATACTTAAATGAAAAAATTCGAACGGTGTTAGTGGAATTAATTTGTTAACAAATACATACATTTCAGACACAAGTTACTCGAAATGTGCTCGGTTTTTGAACCAATTTTACCTGATCTTTTGAAAGAGCTGATTATTTACAATGGACTTTATGTAAGACAAAGATCTCTATTTTCAATTTTGTAGTTTTGAAATGTTTTGTGTGTACATGATGCCGAAAAATCGATTGACGGCAAAACTGTCGGTCCATTCATCACCAACGCTAGCGCCCAAACCGTTCAGCCGATTTTCTAAAAAAATGGTATTCCCCCATTCGATCTGAACGAACTCAAGGCATTGGGAGTTTCATACAGTTATTTTGATTTTTGAATGTGCTTTGTACGTATATAAATAATATGAGGCCTCGAACACATTATCAAAATTATCTCAAAAAGTCTCCAAATTATGTTATTTAAATTTTGTCCTCGGAAAGTGTAAAGGACGAGTGAAGTGCTGGTCTCATGTTCGCTGAAATCGCCGATTTTTCAAAAATTGCAAAAGGGCAAGTTTTTGGTCGTCTCTCTACTACTACTACAATACTGAACATAGGTATTTTTTCCTTAATGAAATTTGTTCTAAAAAGGCATCTTGAAATAAGGGCATGTTCAATTTTTTGAAAATATCAGTAGTTTTCTTGAAATGTTGGGCGAAATATAAGCAACTTAATTTTTTTAAAAACATTTTTTCTCAATAACCGCTCCAATTTTTTACATTTTATCCTCGTATGTATCAAGATACGACAGGAAATTGGGACCCAGTCCCATTTTCGGCAACCTCTCCATATTTTCGAAAAATGTAAATTGGTTAACTTTAAAACTACAAAATTGAAGATAGAGATTTTTGCCTTAGCCAAGTGTGTTGTAAAAAACCAAGTCTTTAAAGAAGGTCACGTACAATTTTTTGAAAAAAAACGAACTAGTAGTTTTTGTGTAATTTGTGCTTTTAAATTAATGTAATTTCTTTCAGAAAAAAACGTTTCTCAAAAACCGCTTCATCGTTTTCCACGGATAGAAGGACCGTTTAAAAGAATAGGGCGAGTTGAACTTCAAATATTTGGAGATTTTAAATTTAGAGAAAATGCGAGGAGTTTGCTGTTGTAGCAACACTAATTTTAGAAGATATTTCATTTAAGAGAAAAATCTCTATCTTCGTTATGGTTCTTTTGCAATATTATTGCATTATTGTACAATGTTAATTTTCTTCAATTTACAAATTCACAGGGAGTTCTCCGCAAATGGGACCAGTTCCAGTTGTTGTAACGTACTTTGATACATACGAGGTCAAAATTTTAACCCAAATTTAAAACGTTTTTTGAGAAAATAATTGTTTAAAAATTGCCATTTATTTCACACAAAATTAAGCGAAAACCACTCAAATTTTTGAAAAATTGTACATGGACATCTTATTTCAAGATGTCTTCAAACAAAATATTTCATTAATGAAAACTTTGAATTTTTTGCAAATTTCGAAATATCTTGGTTTTCAACGAAAATGAGACCCGCGCCATTCTTTTAAGCGTCCTTTACACTATCCGAGTGGTAAGTGTAAAAAAAAACAAGTGGAGTCTTTTACCAAGGAGCTACGGCCTCCTTGTCTCCCTTCGCGCTCACGTGTATGTGTTGCAGTAAGAGACGACGTTGGTTGGCGAAAATGGCGTGTCACTGACGTACGATATAGTTTGCTGTCTTGGCTTCTAGTACGTCGTCCGATAGCCTAATTCGGCAAAGTGACCACGCGTCGTGTGTCAAGATAGAGGCGTCGATGCCTTTAATTTTTGCCTGAAATACATCCTCCTCAGCTTGCATTGGCGATGTGGGAGATCTGGATTCAGATTGTAGGATATTTTACGCCTTGTTTTATTTCCTGAATTTAGTTGTAGTACATCAGTTTTGTTCTAAATCCCTGGGCAATTCCAGCTTCCAGTATACACCAAACCAAATGTTATATACTAATTGAAAATTGCATAAAGCTGTTGTCAACATTCGTATCAATTTTTCACATTTTTAAATCTGATATCAGCCCTTAAATCTTGGAGAGACTTACTTTGAAAGTCTGAAAGACAGTCTTGAAAATTGTTTAGTTAGCAGCCTCTGCTTTGAAAACTGTTACAGAATCCGTTCTAATTTACGAAAATTTGGCTCGCGTTTTTGTTTCCTATTGGATATCATGTTTTAAAACAAATACAGGAATATGAGAATTATTGTGTTAAAATGTTTTATGTTTGTGCAATTTTATGACAGTTAGCTTAATAGAACAGAATGGTAATTTTCAATATTATTTTGATGTTGTGCATTAAATACTTTTGGCACTTTATAATGTGTAGTATATGTTCTTATTTTCCAAACTCTCTCCACATAATTATCTGGGTGCCAGTAATGGACGTCTTTCCCTTCCCTTCCCTTCCCTTCCCTTTTCTTTTCTTTTCTCTCCTTTATTTGTCATAATATTTGCTCTCCCACACGGTCATAAGATTTGCGTTCTTCCTACTGAAGTAAAAAAAAAAAAAAGCATGTCGGGAATTGGGCTTGCCCGTTCTGTATCATCTGTCATGTACAATTTATTAAATAATATCAACTGGGCATTGTAGTAGACTAAAAATGTATTGAAACAATTTTAATTATTCTCCAAAAAATAAATTTCTGAAAGTCAGTCTTCTAATTTGTTTTCACAAAACACTGATGACAAATACATACAATATATCAAACAAATCGCGTGGCGATGTTTATGCCGCATAGAGCAAAGACTGATGATTAGGGGCCGGAGTTTGATGACCTAAAACAGAAAAATTAATAAAATGCTCTTAAAATGTTTTTAAAACGTCCTAAAAGCAAAGAAAAATTACGTAAAAATGTTATCAAAACCAATTCGGATGAACAATTCCAGCTGTTGGTTATATTACTGATGTAATCGAGGCCTCTTCTATTCGTGCAAAGGAACTCTGCTTTCAAACTTTTGGTTTGGACTGTTCTTTACGGGGAAATCTGTCTAGTTGTACCGAAATCGGCAGAACTGCCTATGACACTGACAGGCTTCACAGGAACCTTAGATTACATACAACGACAGACATTACAACTTCTGAGCGAAGAAATGAAATAGGCTACAAGGTATAGGTACTGGGGAATTCTGTGGTGAATATTTAGTGCATCTCGTAAATATAATTTGAAGGTCCATTGAAATTATATTAAAATCAATGAGATTAGCGAGAAATGCACTAAAAATGACGGGAAAAGGCAAAAAAAGTACTTACTCGAAATCGTTGAAAAATGCAAAAAAGGAGGGGATTTTCCTTTTGTTATAACGAAACGATATTTTTCTAAAGTGAAAAGATGAAAATGACATTTCAATAAAATCCGCACCCTATTTTTTAGCAATAGCCCACTTTGTAGTATGGTGTCTAGAAATTCTCTTAATACCAAATTCCGTTAAGGACCGACAATCTATTAGACCTGTAATGAATTGGAGCCCTGTACCTACGACATATGTAGATACTTTTAAAATATTCACCGTCAATCTGCTTTCCTTCTGGTTACTGTTAGATTAGTCAAAGTATCTTTCTCGGATTTTCACAGACCCAGCAGATAGCAGGAAAGACATCCAAAAGGTTAGATTCCTTCACATCGTTTTCGCATGCCCTTCATTTATTTTATTATAATTAATAATAATAATAATAATAATAATATACCGAATACATATTGGAAAGTGTCAAAATGTCTGGACCCGTTCCCTTTCTCCCGTCCCGTGACGACCGTGCTAACTTGTGTTGACCAGCAGGACATGTTAACGGCCTTTTGAGACATCTCTTACGTCTTCTGGCCGCTCCTCAGATTTTCTCTGCCCTGCTGGGCTTTTCGACTCGAGTCTGCCTCGACTCTCTCTTGCAGGCGCTTCCTTTGCCCACATCTTGAACTCTCCATCGACCCCGTCGTCAAATTCTCATCAAGCTTTTGTCTAGTTTTCGTTTGATACTTACTCTGGTTCCCAAATGACTCTCGTCTTAATTGTTTTCTTTAATTCTATTTTGGATCTTGTGACACTCTTATTTGACTCAGAGTCGTGAAAAGTCCGTTTGAAATTTGAACATGTATTAGAGATTTTATTTATTTTTTACGTTTACTTGAGAGAAAATTAGCAGAAATTGCGCTAAGAGGTACATTTTTTTCGCAAAATATTTTTAGTTTACAATGCTTCATTTTTAAAACGATATATCAAATTAATAGTGGTTGAAAATTAAAATGGAAAATTCTGGTAGTATGTCCGATATGAAGAAAATCAAAAACATAAATCGCTTGTATGTATGACTCGAATATCAAATCAGAATACGTTGTGTATTACAGGATTGAAGCTGAGCCCGACGGTCCATGATCGACTTATCTGCCCACTCGATCCATCATCGAGGCACACGAAAAAACCTTGCAGATCGGCTGTTGTCTCATCGTCAAAATAATACCGAGGAGAAGTTTCGTCTTGACTTCAATTGAGGTGGCTACGTGAAACGACCATGATCACATATAATGCCTTTTTCATTCCGTCTGGACTGCTATGTTAATCGAAAATTGATTTTTCTGCAGGGCATATTTGCAAAAGAGTCATGGAAACCAAAAAAGATTGCAAATTACCCGCTAGCACCAGCGAGAGGAAGAAGCCTGAACTCAATCCACCACTTCTAAAGAAATGTGATTCGTCAAAATCCTCGCAGAGCCGGAAATGGTACCGACAAGCTGAACATAGGTATGTACGCACGAGAAAGTATCAAATGTACAAACCGAAGTGAAATGACTCCTCTGTCGTGGTTCGCGCGTTTATATTCACCCCTCCAGCCAGCTACGAGTATTTAATTTTTCTGAGATTGGTTGTGAATAGGACATGCTCTAATTACAAATACTCTCCGACTGTCTTTTAGACATGACACGCATCTAAAAAAATGCTTGCGAAATAAGTTCGTTTTTGAGATTCTCTGTATTGTGATGTGGAAATGTCATCGGAAATTTAATACATTCTCAACGGGATAGTTATTTAATCTATGGTTTGATATGGTAGTATGTAGAATTTATATTTCTGAAGCACCGAATCTTATATTTCGCATTCTTTAAAGAATAAATCACTTCCTTATTTGATTTTCGTGCTATTTGATAATTAGTGTGGTTATGTCTTCTTGTTTATTTCCAAAGTATTACATTTTTCTATAGTAACCACCATTCAGCAAGTAATTTTGCCGCAGACTTATCACTAGCAGCTATTCCTTTGATTTATTTGGTGTATTGTATTAATGGCAACTGCAGTCTTGTTCATGATTCATCTTCAAATATTCTCTCTGAAAATTGTCATTAATTCTAAAGTGGCTCCAACGCATCGGTCATATGCCTAATGTCATATTCAGGACCATTTTCCTTAGTCAATACTCGAAATATATTTGTCCTTTTCTCGTTTCAAGAATTTATTTATTTCTACAAAAGATACTTTTGTTTCCATTCTGCGGAACTGTCGAATCCTAATCCGTCGTTATTTTTCCTTATTTCTGTTACATGTGCGAGAGAAGGGTTTTCCCTATACCTACCATATAATAACCTCAGAAAAATAATTGTCTTTTTTTAAACAAAAGTTTTTTTTATTGTCTTCATAGATAGTTACATTATTTGTCTGTTCATCAATTTATCAAATATAGAGTCAAGTAATATATTAATTATTAAGTAAGCCCCCTTCCAGTAGGTATAAAATGCAATGACATTGTTTTATCTCACTTCTGAGTTGCTTGGGATGCGAAATCAACAGATGAGCGATGTTTCCAAACATCGATGGATTATTATTATTATTATTATTATTATTATTATTATTATTATTAGCCTGCAACATCCCATAAAGGGCAAAAGCCTCCTGCGCGCGCAGGAAATTATTAATCCTTATTTAATGAAGTGATAGGATGATGAAGTGTGAAGAGATCACAAATACACCTATGCCCGAGGCGGAATTTTAACCCGCGATCCTGCGATCCGAGATCGCCACGACACGCCTGCCTTAGCGATCTCGGCTATCCGGATCGACAGTGAATGTGTTAATTCATAATGAAGATGTAGGAAAAAAATTAAAGAAATAACGAAACTGAGCCACCAAACATGAGTACTCAGGACGGGCGTATCCGCGGGGGGGGGGGACATGCCCTCCCCCCAAAGCCCAGAGAAAAACGTTTTGTTGCCTTTTAAATTTGAGCATAATGCGTGTTTAAATGTTTATGTCAGATATTAATTAATTATTGTTTAAATATTATATTGATTTGTACTCATTTATACATTTATACAAAATATGCAATGTATAGAATATTATTTTATTGTTAACAAAAATCTAAGATCCTTACACAAACACACACGAAGAATTCGGCTGGATTCGTACCTTGGCTCATGGATATTCAAGTGGTCAGGAGCTTCCTCAGTTTCACCGTAGAAGGGTACAGAAGAACGGGGAGAGGTCACTGTAATATTGTTGCTCTCTCGCGCGTGTGATATTACTAGGAAAAAGGCGGAGGAAATACTTAGAGCAACTGGGCCATTTCTTTGGGCGAAAATGTGTCTTGCAACGATGTAAGGTATAGAAACAGCTTTTCGTTTTGTCGGAACTAATGAACTGGCAGGATAGTCATTAATTTCAATACTTAACCCGTCTATACAATTGTGTATTAATGAGACTTTTCGGTTCTCAACAAAATATCGAGTCAAATAAAACCATTTTAATAAATCATTGTTCTATACAAAATCAATATATTTGAATCATCTCACATCAATGTAGCGTCCCTATTGCTACCCTATCTATTTTGCCTGTGGAGATTCAAGAGCGGCTCCAAGAGCACACTGCATTGGCGGAAATACGGACGAAAAATTGAATTAGCCCCTTCGTGGCGTAAGTCGGGACCCGCAATTGCGGGAGGTCCCAGGTAAGAGAGGACCCTGTTTATAATCTGTCGGTATTCTGATTTCTTATGTAGTAATAGAGACTGATGGATAATGAATTTTGTTAAAGGAATATTTTTATTATTTAAGGTACCTAAAATATTGTATTTGCTAAACACGTTGTATGAAGGCGGCCGCCCCGGATAAAAGTTTGGCGGGCGGTCTGCTGCAGTCATTTCGTTAGCTATGCTCATTCACCAAAACAAGTAATCGTAGCAGTTGACAATTTCCCTTTATAAAGTAGCAGTTCGGCAAGCAGAAGAAATGGATATTCGAGCCACCTCACCTGCATCATGAATGATTGTTGCGAGGGGTTGGGCGGCGACGGGAATGCAAGAGGGTATTTGATTATCTGATTGATTACGTGATTCAAGAGCGCGTCGAAAAGGCTTAGAGGCATTGTACTAGGAGATGTTTGTGCATGTGTCTTTCTCGAGAGGTGCGGTGACTTCCCCGCTGCCCGAGATCCGGCGCCGATCTAAGTCTCTAAGCTCCCGACTCGGTCCGCCGGTAGTTACGAGTCAGTGGTAGAGTAAGTGTGTGTAAGGGTGAGGATAGTGACAAGGAAGATAAAGGAAAGATGCGCGCGTCGTCATTGGTCCTCTCTTCCTGGATAACTGCTCTCCCTTTTTTTGGGGGGGCCCCGCCAAAAAATCATGTGGTGATGAACGGAGAAACCACGGAAAACTACCGAATCAGAGCAGCCGACGCGCTAGAACTTCTCCTCCAGACATGCCACTGAATCTAGTCGTAGCTAGTGGGCATTTTTGCCACCGTCGGCACTCCGAACTCGAAGGAACTCATTGTCAGTACGGCTCTGTAGTGACATCAATTGAAAGGCCTGGAGCCACCTCTCGCGCGGGGGTGGGAGGGATGGGAGGCGTGCGTGTGGGTGTGGGTGCGTCGCCTCTCCCGCGCCGACGCTCCCGGATGGCCGCCTGCACGTTGGAAAGGGAAGGGGGCCGATTGCGGGTTGCGATGGGCCGGGGCGGGGCGGCGCGACGCGGCGCGCACGTGGGCGCGGGCGGAGCGGAGCGCAGCGCACCGGGAGCGCCGGCCGTCCGGCGCAGTGGCTGCGAGTGGCAGTGTTGCGCGCGCCGTGCTCCTCGCCGCACGTCCCGCTCCCAAGCGTCTCGGAGCGCCCCGCTCGGGCCTCGTCGCTCGCCACTTGCACTTCCGCCGCCCGGCCGCAGCGAGCGCAGCGCAGCGCGGCGCCCAGGATCACGATGCCCAGCATGGAGGGGCAGGGCTTCACGGACGTCGTCCAGGCGCCACCCTCGTACGTGAGCATGTTATCTTGGGCGCTCCGTCGCGCACGCGGCAGCCTCCCTGCAACGCGCGCGCTGACATGCGCGACATTCCACGCTCGTGCACTTCACGGACGGCCAGTGTTTGTGTTAGGAATTTGTGTTCCAATGCGGGGGAGATTTTCTTGGTGTGCAGTTCTGTCATGTAAGAAGAATTTGCATGTGAATGTGTGTAAGCAATGAAAATATATTGCGTCATGCTTCACTCATTGTCTTCCGTTTGAATTTGGACAATCTACATTTCGGATGTTAGTCCTAATTTGCCGGTGGCGAACACTTTTTTCTCAGGAAATTTAATTTGTGAAATATTTTAGTAGACAAATCTCATCTTCAGTATCAATTTGACGTCTGTACACCTGCATGTTGTTAACCACAATTTCTTGTGAGTAGTGATAATACTTGCACAGTTACATGTTATAATCCGAAAAGGGATTGAGCATGAAATTTAACCGTTCGTTGGGCAACCTCGTCCAACTAGGTATTTATGTTCTTGGACTATCATTGAAAGTAAATGATTTAGCTATTACGTTCTTTAATATTGTAATTTTTTAAAGTTACATTTTTACTTGTTTCAGTGCACATTTTTATCACAAAATGGAATTTCTTTTAAGGGATGAAGGTCTTCGCGTGGTTTTCTTGGTATGACGTGCCAGTGTTTTATCGGTCATTATCTTGCAATCTCTTCGGTGAATTGATTATGTGTTGATGTGATAGGGTGACGTTCTTCCGTGTGAGTGTCTGATAATCTAAGAAATCAATCCAGTGCACGGAAAAGAAATACAATTCATCACTGCTGTTCTGTAGTAATCTCATGGCCTTATGAGCTCACGCCCAGTGTTTTATTAATAGGCAATGCATACGTGATTTAATACGCGCGTTAATAGGAAATGCACAGGCAGAATTTATTGTACTCATTACGATAGTGTCAGGGTTTTGCAGATGGTTTGCGAAAATTATTCCTTTATTTTCGTTCTCCTGTTCGCCAGCGTTGTCGCCAAAAAGTTTGATCAGGAGCAACTGAAAGTCGTAGGAGTGCGAATGTGTCTCGTTGTGGACCTGTGGTCGCTGGCCAGACGTGCGCGACGAGCAAAATCTCCGCACGGTTAATCGGCGCGCCAGAAAATGGGTCCGCCTGGCACTACGCAAGCGCCCGTTCACTTTCCCGTATGTGCACTTGCTGTCACCCATTGCGACACTCGCACGCGCCGCCGGCACGCACAGTCCGCCGCGCACGCCGTCCCACACGCACGGCCACACGCTGAAGCCTCGGCTTTTAACCCGCCAGTACTCGCGATGGATCTGGTCAGATTCTGGCACTAGACTTTTCAAATAATGTATTGTGAAACGCGATCTAGCTTGCTGACATTTCTTGTAATCTTGTAGCCTTCGTTTCGTAGTTATCCACTGTTACTTATTTCAACAATAGATTTCATAGTTCGCTTGAACCAAACAAACTTCCGCTCTGCTACAGCCCGGTAGATTCCTGTGCTCTCGCGTCAGTGAGCATAATTTTCTGAGAAGCATCTTAAGTCGTTAAATGTTATAGAACATTTTTTTCAAACTGAAAGCCGTTAATTAAAATTTTTAATATGATATCTGATAACAAAGCAATTTTTTCATTGAAGAAATAGAAAGTATCGACAACTGAAAACTGGTTTTCTTTTCGATAATGTGTATATTTGTCATTGTATTGAATTGTCCATTGTTTACTGTGTGTTATGAGTAGTTAGTACTGACTAACATCGTAAAAGTTAACGTAAGAGCTACGTGAGTGAATCAGGCTTGTGGCAGGTCGGATGTGGGCCGACGTGCCTCACACTGAAGACGTCAGGATGTTATCAGTTGTGTAGCCTTTAACCACGACCACGGGGAAGTGACGTCTCGGTCCCAAACGTTTCCGCTTTCTTAGCTTTGGGGTGTTCGTGTGAACGAAGGGCGCTCGCAAGCGGATGGTATTCGGTGCATCAGTTTGATTCAAGGGTCATTGCCACGAATGAGCTCTGTAGTTACTTTATTTACTTTCTAAACATCGTTTACCTCAGTGATTACCAATGTGCCAGAATCACAAGGACTCTGTTATTTAAATTAAGCAACATCGAGTCTGGCAGACGCAGTTTTAGATTTTACATATTACTTTAATGTCCAAAAAATAATTATTTACGTAACTGGAAACGAAAGCGTATCTTTGACCTATGAATGTAATTTTTTCGGGCGAGGACACGATCAGAGCCCAGTCCATAATTTTGAAGTTAGTATGCCAAAGACTGTTGTACGAGTGGCTTGCTTTATTTTTAATACATATTCATGGAAATTTAAATATTATTTAGTCTCGTTATACCGATCATGTTCATTCGCGTCGCCCAGTGTTTCATTTATTTTGCGGTACGTTCCCCGCCTAATGCTACCTTACAATACCCCAGTACTTTCTAATCAATAATCAGTGGACGGAAATACTAGTTCTCATGAGTGCTACGAAAAACACATTGTGCAGTAGCGCAGTGCCGCCAAGCGGGTGCACCTTACAGAAAAAATATTAACGGATGTTCTGAAGAATTGCTTATAGCGCATGATCATTCATATGTCCGTAGAGGTGTAAATCTAAATTTCAGTTTCTCCGAAAGTTTACAGAGTGAACGTTCGTGTTCACCTAATGTTGATTTAAAATGACCCACTAATGACCGCTTCTGACTGTGCGACCCTGGAGTTCGTGACCGGACGGTGGCAGGATTTTCGACACAGACCAGATAGCTAGGTCGAGTTCCGTTACTGTCTGGAAGAGAATTCTAGCGGCCGACTGCTCTGATAGGTAGTTTTTCGTGGTTTCTCCAATCAATACCACGCACATGCCGGAGCAGGACCCTAACAAACGGGCCACGGACCGCGTGCGATTTGTCGTTCCCATTTCTTGTTCTATCCTCATCCCTTACGCACACATGCACAGCACTACCCTTCCTCACACGCCGGGAGACCGGTCGAAGCTTAGAAATATCACCGGCTGGGGTTGGGTATTGCCCCGCTGATTGGGTAAAAGGCCGCTAGCTGGCGATAGGTCGGCGCCGGATCTCGCCATCCAGTGGGGGCAAGATCACCGCCACCTTCCGATTTAAAAAAAAACATGCACCAATCCTACGGGACCAATGACTGAAATGACTAGTGATCAATCAATTAATACAAATTTCTCAGAGTCCTGGGATATTAAATTAATTCGTAAATTAAACGTACTCGAACACGAACTTTCTACTTTCATCAGTGTATTGTTTTTTCTAATTATTCGAATATATTTCGTATTCCTCCATGCCCAGCGGAAAACGTGGCTTACGAATAAATGCGCACTCAGCGGCATAGCTTACCGATAGTGACCTACATAGCGGCCGTGTCTTAGCTCATAATTTTAACTTATTTCTCCGTTTTTTAATGCTCCGCTTCATAGTGCCAAGACGCTCCTCAGTAAGACCGTGATATCGGTATACAAGTGGCGAATCCAGGATTTTGTGTGTATTGAATTTAAATTTTTTTATAGCGTATTCATTTGATATATCGAATGATTTCCGTTTCAAAAAAATTATAAAAGCTACTTGTGAATGTATCTTCGGCTTAGGAGGAAATTGAAGCCCCGCCCCTTGGGTGCGCAACCGCTCTTTACGCCATTATACATCATGGAAGAAGTGTTACTCAGACTGGTAAAAAATGCCTTATTCAAGGCCATCTGGTAGGCGAGAAATGAGTGTATCGAGTAGGGCTCTTGCGGTAGACCAGGCAGAAGGCCATAAATACGTTCCAATTTGTAGGTGAGATTTGACACCGTGTCTCTTTGGCCAGACGTCGCTCCCACGGTGCGCACTCCGGCCGTCTGCGGCCGTCTCGACCGTCTCGGCCGCCTGCGTTGGCGAAATATGAGGAAAATGATGAAACGCGAGCCGTCACTTGGCAGCCCCGCATTCGTTAGCGGCGGGCCTCCGTGTTTGCGAATCATCGAGTTGGCATGTCGGCTCGAAAGCACGACTTTCGGCGCAACCTACTCCAACCGAACCCCTCCCTGGAACGCGCTGAAGCGCCGCGCCGCGCCGGCCGTGCGATCTGGGAAGCGCGCTTTCTCGCTTTGCCAACACCCGCGCCGCGCGTCGGCTTGCTCGCGTACTTTCATTCACTTCTTTACACCGCCATGCACTTGCTTATGGCTTCTGTCAATATTACTTTCTTGGCGGCGTTTTAGTTGAGGGAATAAAAATTCGCCAACGTCTCGGCGCTCATTCTTACCTTCCATACAGACTCACATTTTGTTATTCATAGTATAAACATGGGTTTGACAGTTGGAGCTTACATTTAGAAAGTGTGATGTTCTGCGACACAGCATACTTTTTGTGCGAAACCGCCTGCCTTTCCGATTGTGCTAGTGAGTAGGGTTTTTTCAGTTAATCCATGTTTTGGTTCAGTTCCGAAAAGAGACAAAGATTCTTTTGAAAAATATTTTTGTATATATTACATATTGAACCTGGACGCATGCCATATGAAATAGTAAAGTTATAAACATAAAAGAAAAAAATATTCTTCTAATTTCAAGAGAAAAAAAGACGGAAATTGCCTATTATGTTGTTTTTCATGTTAGGTGCTTGCAAGTGCAGTGTTTTTATTTACGGTATGCTGGGCGGTGCATTTTTCAAGAAACCTTTGTGTGTATATTAAGAATGTTGGAAAACGGAATATGAAATCGTATCAAAAATAATATTTCCCAAAATGAAATTTATTTCTATATTTTGCAATGTAATAAATGTTTTGAAAGTAGTTTCATGAGTTGACTGGTGTGTCATTTGTTTTATGATGTCTTAATGTTGGGCGTTAATCCGTTCATTTCCTTCAAAACGTTTTCCTCTTATTTTTACTTACCATTCTAGCGTTATGGTATGCACGTTTTTTAACTAAATTAGGCTATGTCGTTAGTTAACTATTTGTTGAATTTTAGAAATAATATCCAGATAATTGTTTT